GTGGTCAGTGAATGTCATGGAATATTACTGTGCCATAAGGAATAATGCATAGGAAGAATGCAGAAAATTGTGAGAAGACCCACATGAACTGATGTAGTAAAAGCAAGCAGAACCAAGAACATCATACACACAGGGACTAATTGGGCGTTAATGGAAAGAACTACCCTGAACTTCCCCTGCCACAGTGAACGCTTGTCATGATCGAAGGAAAAAGAAACTTACACGTGCAAAAATATTTCAAGCAGCTCTTTTTGTGGTGGCAAAGAATTGGAAAGTGAAAGGATGCCCGTCAATTGGAGGAATGGATGCACAAGTTACAGTAGGTGAATTTGATGGAATACTAGTGTGCTATAAGAAATGATGAAAGGGATGGTTTCAGAGAAACCTGAGAAGACTTATATGACCTGATGCAATGTGAAATGAGCAGAAACAGGAAAACATTGTATGCAGCAATAGTAATATTATACGATGATCAATATGAATGACTCAGCTATTCTCAGCAATACAATGATCCAAGACAATTCTCAAGGACTTATGATGAAAAAGGCTATCCATCTCCAGAGAAATAACTGATGGAATCTGAATGCAGATTGAAACATGCTTTTAAAACTTTTTTTTGGTTTCTGTTTTCTTTTGCAACATGACTAATATGGAAACACGTTTTGTAGGACTTCACATGTATAATCTACATCAAATTGCTTGCTTTCTCAAGGAGGTGGGAGGGGAAGAGAGGGAAGGATAGAATTTGGAACTCAAAATTTTAATAAATGAATTTAAAATTTTTACTGTAATTGAGAAAAAATAAAATGAAATGAGGGGGAAAATTTTAAAAATAAACAAAATGGACAGAATAACCCTCCTATTGCCTCCTTTGCAGAGCTGTTGGGACGACAGTGTTTTACAAAGTCCTACAAAAATGAGCAGTTAGGTGGCATAATGGATAGAGTGTCAGGCCTGGAGTCCGGAAGACTCATCTTCCTAAGTTCAAATCTGACTTCAGACACTTCCTAACTGTGTGACCCTTGGCGAGTTACTTAACCCTGTCCTCCTCAGTTTCCTTGTCCTTAAAATGAGCTGGAGAAGAGAATGGCAAACCACTCCAATGTCTTTGCCCCAAATGGGGCCATGATGGGTTGGACACCACTGAAAAGATTTAACAATAACAATGACAAAACAAAAATGGGAACTATTATCCTCAATGACCAGCTCTGGAGGATCGCTAGGCCTTTGGCTGCCTTGGCTAAATAGTGGCCAAGGGATGGGGACTGAAGGTACTTTCTGAGATTCATCAGCAGGGATCCCCCATTTCTGCCACATCAGCCAACCATGGATAAGTACATTGAGTAGCATATCCCCACTCCCAGTGGCTCATTCCTCTCAATGACTATACTCAGAGATTCCAAAGCAACAAACAACAAACATTTATTAAGCACCTACTATGTGGCACTCACTGTCCTGGGGATATAAGAAAGACAGTCTTCTCTAAGGAGCTCCCATTCTATGGGGAAGATGACATGCAAACTCCTACATACAAACATGCTCCATACAGGACAAATAGGAGATCGTTAAAAGAGCAAAGGCAATGGAATTGAGAGGGGTTGGAAAGGCTTCCTGTAAGAAGTGGGATTTCAGCTGAGACTCGAAGGAAGCCAAGGAAGCCAGTTGGCCGAGTTGAGGAGAGAGCATTCCAAGTAGGGATAGCCCCTCAAAATGACCGAGTTGGGAGATGGAGTGTCTTGTTTGAGGAATGATCAGGAAGCCAGTGTCACTGCATTGAAGGGAAGGGGGGGGGAGAGGGCTTTGAACATCAAACAGAGGATTTTATGTTTGGTCCTTGAGGTAATGAGGAGCCCCTGGAGTTTATCGAGTAGAGGGGTGACATGGTCAAACCTTCTTTTTAGGAAAATCACTTTGGTGGTTGAATGGAGGATAGATCAGAATGGGGAGAGGCTTGAGGCAGGCAGACCCTCTAGCGGGCTCTGACGACAGTCTAGGTGTGAGGTGAGGAGGGCCTGCGTGGTGACAGTGTCCGAGGACAGAAGGGGGTGTTTTCAAGAGATTTCCCAAATGTGGAATCGGTGGACCTCTGGCAACAGATTGTATGTGGGGGGTGAGAGATAGTGGGGAGTTACGAATGACTCAGCCTGGGTAACTGGGAGGATAGTATAGGTTTAGGGGGAAAGAAAATGGGTTCAGTTTTGGGACACATGAGCTTAACGTTTCTGTCACACATCCGTTTCTGATATCTGAAAGGCAGTAGGAGATGTGTGACTGCAGATGAGAAGAGAAGAGAGATCAGGTCAGGAGAAGAAGCTCTGAGAATCATCAGCACAGAGATGGTAATTCTGTCCATGGGAGCTGACGACATCCCCAAGGGAAGTAGAGTGGAGGGAGAGGAAAGGGTGCAGGACAGAGGCCTGTGACACACCGCAGTCAGCGTGGTTGTTACCTGGCCACAGATCCAGCCAAGGGGTCTAGGAAGGAGGAGAACCAGGAGGGACGGTGTTCTGAAAACCCAGAGAGGACAGAATCTACCGGTGATGCCAACGGCTGCAGAGAAGTCAAGGACAACGAAGGCTGAGGATGGGCCACTGGATTTGGCGCCCGAGGAGCTCTCAACAGAGGCAGTAGCAGGTGGCACCTCGCTGCCCACCAAGCAGTAGTGTGAAATCCCTGGACAGGAATGAGCGTCACTAACACACACCAGAGAAGGGGCTTTCCCCAGACAAAAAGGGAACGCCAGGAAGCCATTTCTGGAGTTGCCGTGTCACTGCCCAATGTGGGCACCTTCATCACCCCAATCTGGATGCAAGTTTGGAAGCCTGTGTCATCTTGCTCCCATCTCTAGAATATGTTCTTTAATAAATTTTGTGCGTGTGTTTTTCCCTCTCTCCCTTCCCTAGTGCAGACTCTGGGGTACCACTCGGCTGGAGAAATTGAAATGAGTAAGACAAACTGATTGAGTCTCCTAAATGTTAAATTCCTTAAATTCAGAGAGCTCCCATTCCAATTGCCTGCATCTACTTTACTGATAGAAGGTTCATTCTCTCTCTCTCTCTCTCTTCCCCTCTCCTTCTCTCCCCACCCTCCACTCCTGTCTCTCTTTTTCTCTGAGCTCCGGGTTGGTGGCCACATCTGTTTGCTAGAGTTCAGCCAAGGTAGGAGTGGGGATGACATCGCTTTTTGCTGAGTGGAAATCCCAAGATTGAAGCCACTTCTGGTTAAAGTCCTCAGAAGTACCAATGAGGTAGGTAGGCACAATGAGACAGTATCCACCCATGCCATGACTGGAAAATTGGAAGGCAGAACAGGAATGGGAGCTGTCCTTGGGCAAAGTCTTCTGGGAATGTTCCTCCTCTTGGGAAGTTCAGATGTGTGAACTCATCGGAGAGCAAGGCCTTGGGATGGGTATGGAGATGCTTGACCTCTTAAGAGAATTGGCACCTTTCTCTTGCAAAGTCTCTAAAACAGAGGTGTCAAACTCTCCCTGAGTGGGACTGAACCAGGTAAATTGCAATTGGGAAATATCTAACAAAATAAATAAAAACACAATAAATAATGTGAATTTGTGGTTTTCTAAATCAATGCATGGCCACAGGGATCCCTTTCTCCTTGAGTTTGACACTATTGGACCACAAGATGTTTCATCTGCTTTCTCTTTCAAGTAATGATGAATTAAGCCATAACATGAGTGTTTGCTGGTAGGCCAAGCAGAGACAAGGAGATAAATATCTTCCTGAGAAAATGAGACCTGAGCTCATCAAAATTAGGAAGTTTTCCTGGTAGAAATTCCAAGTGGGTGCAAAATATGAGTCAAATTTATACTAAGCTGAAGAAATAATATCTGTAATGTTTCTTTTGCATTTAATAAAGTCCATCTTGAGCCTACCAGAGCACGGGCCAAGGTAGGGGTCAAGCTATCTGCTGCAGAACCGTCTGTCCTAGACACTCCACCCTCCCAAACTGTTTCTACACATGGGAAACATGCCTGTCTTCACACTGGTCAGTCTACAAACATTGATTAAACACCTACTTTGTGCCAGGTCCTATGCTAAACATTGGGATTACAAAGAAAGGTGAAAACATGGTTCCTGCCCTCATGGAACTCCAAGTCTAATTGCGGGGGGGGGGGGGGCACTTGCAAACATCAAGGTACAAAAAAGATAGATACAGGTTGGACTGGACAGACTACAGAGGGAAATCACTAGCACAGAGGGACCAGGAAAGCCAGCCGATGAACAATGCCTGTTGTCCAGAATGTCCTTTCCAGCTCAAAGACCATTCTCAAAAGTGAAGCGATTGTGCCTTGTCTCTTTGTACAATTGCTTCCTATCCTACGCAGCCACCCAGCCACCGTCCACTGTCTTGGGTTCTAGTTTTCCCCCTACAGAGCTGGAAAATAAATATTGTTGTCGTCCTTGCTTTTCCTTGATTTCATTTCCTGATGCTGTTGCTACGAATCGTGTTGCCTGACAATAGTGGGTGGCAGAAGGAAATAGAAAAGGGGACCTTAAACCAGACGTGAGAGGCCCTGGGGGCTGCAGGTAGACTTAGGAAACCACAAACCCTCATCTTCTGTGGTCTCTTAGGTGTCTACTGATTCTGTTCAGTTTCTTCCAGTTGCATTTTAACCTGGCTGCCTGTTAGACACCTTCGATCCGCAACAGCAAAGGGAACAGCCTCGCCAAGGGCAAAGGGCAGACACAGTGAAAGCGGGCTGTAGAAGACACCAACTCTTCCTCAGGGCCAAGTTTTGTCAGTACAATCACTCACGTTCGAGTTCTTTTTTTTTATGTTTTGTTTGTTTTTGTTCTGTGTGCAGAATTGTAGTCATTTCAATGAACTGACCAATCAGTAAATAAATATTTGTCTCCTTCCTTCCTTGTCTGAATGGAATTTAAGAAATCACTTTGGAGCTGGGTGAGCCTGGAGGCCAATTAGAACAGTTCAGGTGAGAGGTGTTGAGGGCCTGGAGTGTTTAAGCTGAGAGCTGCCCTGGAGGGAAAACAGCCACCTGCTTGGATGCTGGAGGTGAGAGTGAGGAGTAGAGCACCACGCCACGTTTGCAAAGCTGAGCATGTAAGGACTGTGCTCCCTTCAGGTGACACTTAATTAGGGACGTTTGGATGAGGGATGGGTTCTTAGGGGAAGTGATGATGAGTCTGCTTGGACTAGTGGAGTTTGAGCTGCCTATGGGAAATCCAGCTTACAATATCTGATGGGCAGTTAGTGATGGCGGCCTTTGAGCTCCAGAGAGACTTGGGCTGGATCTAGGACTCTCTTTCACAGAGATGGGAGTTGAAGCCCTGGGAGCTGATGAGAGGGACCTCTATTTCTGAATGCCTTTATCCCTTCCTGCTGGGTGAGTCATCCCCTCTAACAATGATTTTAAAAGAAAGGGGGAGAAGGGAAGCAGTTTAGCAAAACTAATTAACTCGTTGGTCTCATCTGTAAAAAGTTGTTGTTCAGTCCCATCCAACTCTTTGCGACCCCCTTTGGGGTTTTCATGGCAAAGATACTGGAGTGGTTTGCCATTTCCTTCTCCAGCTCATGTTACAGATGAGAAAACTGAGGCAAGCAGGGGGAAGTGACTTGCCCAGGGTCACACAGCTAGTAATGGTCTGAGGTCGGGTTTGAACTCAGGAAGATGAGTCTTCCCGATTCCAAGCCCAGTGCTTTATCCATCGTGACTCCACCTAGCTGCCTTGTAAAAGGAGTAGTTGCCCTCAGATGCTTTCCAGAGTCCTTACCAACTCAAGCTTCATGATCTCATAATTAGGGAAAGAAAGAGGGGAAGGGGGCAGGCATTTATTACTGTGTTCTAGGCATGATGTTAAATGCTTTTCAAATACTATCTCATGAACTTGTGTCTAACAATCTGAGTAATATTCCACACCCGCTGTGCCTAACTCTTCCCACAAAAGAGGGAGACATTTTTTCAACTCCTCCAAGTATTGTCATTACAATTGTTCAAGTTCAGTTTCTTTTTTTGGGGTTCTGTGTACAGCACCGTAATCATTCACTGAACTGACCCATCCATCAATAAATGTTTGTCCAGTACCTGCTATGTGCCTGGAACAGGGATAAAAATAAGCTCTTGAAGAATTTACATTCAATCATTGTGTAACCTCGTTTTACAAACAAAGAAACTGAGGCCCAGAGCAGAAGTAACAACCAAGGTTGAGTCTTAGGTGGAATTCGAATCCAAGTCTTTAGGCCCCAAGCCTTCTAGATCATAAGGGAGACACGATATCCATCATATCACACACTAGACCCAGTGAAATTAGATGACTTTTCCTCTCCCCAACCCACTCCCAGCTTACATTCCACTGAGGAGGGTTAAAGTATATATGAATAAATAGAATAAAGGTAGACATTTCTAACAAGTGGGTGAAGGTTGGCCTCTGAGCTGGCGATTCAAAAGATCCCTACCATGGCAGATGTCTGGAAGAACCACCCGACACAGATCATTCCATTTTGGGGATTAATTAATCTCTAATTATTAGGTGTTTTTTTTTCCTGGCCTCAAGCCTCCATTTACTTCTTTGAAATTTCCAGGCATTGTTCCTCTAAAATATCCTAAATAACCCTAACATCCGGCACAGGATAGCCCTTGTGGCGTTCAAGGCAGCTCCCCTCCTATCTCCTCTAGTCTTCCCTCTCAGAGATCTTTGCTTTCCAGGTCTCCTTTACTGTTGTCTTCCATTATCTGAGTATAAGCTCCTTGAGTTCCCCAGTGCTTAGTGAATGTTTTCTGACCCTCCCCCCCCCCCTTTTTTGAGGCAATTGAGGCTAAGTGACCTGCCCAGGGTCACACAGCTAGTAAGTATCTGTGGCCCACTTTGAACCCAGGTCCTCCTGACTCCAGGGCCAGTGCTCTCTGCACTGTGCTACCTCTCTGCCTGACTCTCTGTGGAGACGGATGATAAATCATTCTGAAACTCAGTTTCCTCATTTGTGAGAAATGAGAGGATTGGACTCCATACCCTCAAAGTTTCCCTTCTTCCCTAATAAGAATTGCTAGCATTTATACAGCATTCGAAAGTTTGCAGAATACTTCACTTACATTTGATTCTTACAATAATCCTGTGAAATAGGTGCTAGTATTCTCTGTGTCTTACTGAGGAGGAAACTGAGGCAGAGAAATGAAGTGACCTGCCCAGGGTCACCACAGTGAGCTAGTGTCCCGGCAGGTTTTGAATCCAGGCCTATCTGATTCCAGGTCCTGTGGATTGCCCCCAGGCCTCAGGTTGACTCCATCCCCCTTCTGCCCTCCCAGTTCCCAACTCGGAGGAGTTGATCCAAGGTTGGGAGGGGGGAGGTGGGAAGGAAGAGTAAAGAGGTGGGCTCTTATCCTGCCCAGCCAAGTCAAAATCACTAGAGGGCAATAGGCTAGGTCCCACACCTACCTTGGCCCTGGGCACCTTGGTAACAGCTAGGTTTCACCTCACTGGGCTTTGGCTCCATACTCTCCAGTTAGATGAGCCACCTGCCTGTGACCAGGTCCCAGTCCATTCCTCCGAGGTCTGGAGTGAGTGAAGGGTGAGAAAGAGGAGAAAAAAGTCTCTCCAGGAAGATTGTAGGAACCTGGGAAAGGTGGATTGGCGGCTGGGCCTACCTGTGGGGGGTGGGCGGGGGAGGGGCTGAGCCCTTATAGAGAGGAGGTGGGGGGGCGCAGGGATGAGCTGTGGGTAATCACCTTGTTCAGGTGAGTCAGTTTCTTGAGGGTGAAGGTCTGTCTTTAGCCTCCCCCGGCTGGGGCAGCCAGAGATGATGGGTTTGTTGGGCACAGAGGAAGCTTTCCCTGCTGGCTCTGGGGGTGGGGCTGCAGGAGAGGGGAGTAGGTAGTCCCTTGTAAGCCAGAGCCCACCCCGGGGTGGGCGCCCCAAGGGTTCTACCACTGTCTTGCTCCTGTCCTCCAGCCCTTCTCCCCCTAGACCCAGAGGGGAGGCTGAGGCTTGTGTTCTGCCTCCTCCTTTGGACAGGTCTTGTATCCCCTTTCCATCCTTCCTTCCTTCCCTCCTGCCACGATGATAAGCCTGATGAACCGAGGCCTGGAGTCTGCTGCAGTCCTTCCTGCGGTCACCAGCTGGGTGAAGCCAGGGGTGTGGGCTGGCACCGGGCACCTCCCCTCCCCACCAGTGCCAGGAGGTGCAGGCCTTCCTTAACCTCCTAGGTGAGAAAGGGGTAGGAGAGGGCATCCTGTCCAGCTCCCCTCGGGCTGGCCTCGGGGGTCCCCTAGGAGGGCCAGGGCCCGAGGTGAGCCGGCAATGGCTGGGTCACTGCTTTCCCCACTGGCCAGGGATGGGGTTTAATCTCATTCTTCCCTTGCCCCGGGCACGCCCACCACCCTGGGCTGAACTTGCTTACCTGCTTGGGGGAAGGGGGTAAGAGGACTCCCAGGGTGGAGATATTAACCTTGTACGGGGATAGGGGGCAGACTGATTCTTCTTTTCTCTCTGCCTCCCCCTCCCCAGAGGACAGCTACCTGCAGCAATTCTTTGCCACCGATCTATGCTTTCAAATCTCTGATAAGGTGCGTGCATTTAAGCTTGGGGTGGGGGTGGGGGGCAGTTCCAGCTGTGCAGGCTTGGGCTCCTTGGAGGAATAAGGGGTTGTGTCCTCATTGAATTATCGGGGACACCTGCAAACTCCATCACCCATCTCTCCCACCATTTATTCCCACTTAAATCACAAGAAGCAGCGAGGCATTGACCTGGCAACATTCATTAAGCATCCATTCTGTACCAGGCTGGGGATGCAGAGAGATACCCATGCCTTAACGCTTAACTGGACCAGCCAGTCCAAAGGGACTTCCCTGATTGAGCACGTGGTCAGCACCTGCTGTGTGCCCTGCAGCAGGAATAAAAAAGATGAGAAGACTAGCAGCCCTGGCCTGCCCTTCCCTGCCCTGCAAAGGGTTACCTGTGCTCTAAAGGGAGAGAGAGGTAAGGGCCCATTGGGGCCTAATGAAGGGGCATCAGAAGGACTAGAGCCTGGCCCTCCTATTTCTGTCTCTGTGCAGTATCTCTTGGCAATGGCCCTGATTTATTTCCAAAGAGCTGGCCTGCAGCTCAGTGAATATACCCACAGCAACCTCTTCTTAGCCCTGTAAGTAAGGGGTGTGTTTTTGGGTGGGGGGGGAGAAAGGCCAGCAAAGGGGACGTTTGAAGACAACATTCATAAAATCATGCTTGTGTTGGCTTTGTTCCTGTGACCCCTGGTGGGTGCTGAAGGTATCTAGCCAATGACATGGAGGAAGACAGAGAGGACCCCAAGTATGAGATTTTGCCCTGGGCCCTAGGCCGGGGCTGGCGGAAGCTTGTGCCCAGCTTTCTCCGTCGGAGGGACCAGTTGTGGGCCCGGATGGGCTACCGGGCAGCTGTGAGCCGGCACTGTTGTGAAGAGGTGAGGGAGTCATGGGGTACTGGACCTGGGAGGGACCTTGGATCATAGGACCTGGGATTGTCAGAGCTGGGCGGAACCTTGGAAATCTAGTCTAACTCCATTTTATACTTGGGGAAACTGAGTTTTAGAGAGGGGAAGGGGGCTGGATAAAGTAGAAGATCGAGGCCCTCTGACTTCTAGACTGGTTTCTGCTTCACTCAGCCCTCCCAGGGGCAAATGAGAACAGCTTCCCTTCCCTATCCCCCAGAATGCTTGGGCTACTGATCTTATCTCCTTACAGGTCATGGCGAAAGAACCATCCCATTGGGCCTGGACCAGGGAACGGCCTGCACACCATGGGGGGGCTCATCGAGGCTCCCCCCAGGGGGACCGGAGCTGTTCTGCCATCATGTCCCATGTCTCAAATCTCTCTCCACTGGGCTGCTCTGTCTGCGGCTGCTGGGTCCGGTGGGGCCATTCTCCGTTTCCTCCCAAACAGCCATCCCCCAAACAGAACTCCCTTAAACAGCGGCCCCCCCAGCAGCACTCCCCCAAACAGCCTCCTCCAACTCGGTCCCTTCCCGCTCTTTCGTTGGCCCCTTGGCCCAGAAACTTTTTCCTCATTCTTCCCCCAATGCTGCAGCTAGAACCTGGGACCTACACTCTGCAGAGTGAGTGTGGAGAAGAAGGAAGAGGGAAGGGGTGGTGTGTGTGGTTTTGTTTTTGAGGGGTCTTGGGATCGAGGGTAACTGCCTGTCCACAGGAAACAGAGGTTTGGGAAAGAGAAAAGCGGGGAGGATTTGAGGTGTGCAGGTATTAGCCTCAGAGGCTTTAGCGGCTCTCTGCTGCCTCTAGGATGCTGTACCTGTCTCGGATTCAAAACTTTTCCCACTTTGGATCCTGGGATCTTTCGGGAATGAATGTTCCCTCATCAACTCTGCTCTTGCTCACTTGTATATACAGTGTTTCTCCTCTTCATTGAGGATGTCTGCCTTTGGAATGCACACTTCCCTTTGTAGGACCCCTACTACCTTCAAGTGTTCCCTCCTTCTGGAGGCTGGTCCCTCTCTGTTTTACGAAGATATACATACCTGGGTCAATAGACTGACTGTTTACTTCTTGGAGGCAGGAGCTATTTCCTCCCCATATTTATCTCTGTATCCCCAGTGCCTGGCACATAGATGTGTTTAGCAAATGCTAATTAAATTTAGAGTGGGAAGGGAGAGTGGCAGAGCTAATCCTCCCCTTGTTTGTAGCTCTTCCTTGGTGGGGCCATCTCCTGACTATCTCCTCTTCCCACAGTCTTGCCAGAGCTGGCTGCTGCTGCCTCCCCTGCTTCCTGGCAGTCAGTAGAATGAAGAGCAGTCAGGACCAGCCTGCTGGCCCCTCTCTGCAGTTGCCCCTGTGTGGGGTGACTGCCCTCCCTGGCTCGGCCTGGCATCACTGCTGCCCTCCTCTTCCCTTCTCCCCTTCAGCCTCCTAGTGATTAAGCATCAGCCTTCCTTGCTGTATAACTCTTCTTGATACAACAATGATCTTGATTACTTCTGTAATAAATTGGAGAAGAGACGTTGTGTTTAGGGTTTGATTTGACTCTTGGGGGAAATTTGGAAGAGGAGGAGGTACAGTCTCAGTGGGTTCCCCCACCAGAGACAGAACTAGGCCCCTTGAGATTGAGCCACAGGGCACCAAAAATGAGACCAGGAAGCTTGGCACCTAGGTAGCAAGACAAATTACTCAACATAGGAAGTTGTCAGCTGCCATCCTGGCCTCCTCCCTACCCCATGGGTTAGCTCAGGGCGGAGTCTTGGACAGCATCCATTTCAGCCCTCTCCCTCATTTTACAGTTGAAACTGAGGCCCAGTCATACAGACAGCAGATGGCAGAGCTGAGATTCAAACCCAGGCCCTCTGACTTCAGAGTTAGCCTACTTTTCTCTGAATTACACTCATGGCTCTGGGCATTCCCAAAGGACAAGGGGCTATCGGCGCTGGAGATGATTTTTTTTTCCCTCCCCTGCCTGAATCATGAAGGCAGAGGTGCCCTAAATGGTGGTACGTCCAATTAAAATGAGCTCCCATCCCTACCCATGATAGGGTCTCATGTTATCGGTGTATTTGGTTTTTCACAAAACACTTTCCTCCTGGTAACTGTGAGGTATTGGCCTTGAGCCTGGAGAGAGGAATATGAAGGGTGTGGGGGATAGGATGGGAGTTGAGAAGTGGGGGATGGGATAGCCCCAGAGGCCTGAGCTCGGAGCTGCAGGGGAAGCTGCAGACTCCTGAACGATGTCCGCTCAGTGTCTGGGGAGCCACTCGAAGTCTCCAATTTGGGAAGGATTGTAGAAAGGCACCTCCGGGGGCCATCTTGTCCAACCCCATCACTTGACAGGTGAGGAAACTGAGTCCCAGAAAGGTGAAGTCAAGGTCGTACAGGTGGTGGAGGTAAGACTCGAGCCTGAGTCCTTTGACTCCCAACTCAGCCCTTCTCACGGCACCCTCTGCGGGGCGAGTACAGGGGTTTTGAGAAGGGAGGAATGGAAGGGGGAGGGGTGTGGCTGGAGCTGGGCCTTCCAGGCTGCAGGTGGGGGAGGGGGCGAAAGAGGCTGAGCCAAGGTGAGTGGCAGTTGGGAGAGGCTAGAGGGGGCCTCGGAAGGAATGTGCCTGGCAGTCTTTGGCAAATCTTGGTTTATCCTGGTAGACTAGTTGGAGAGATGAGGCCTTGAGGTGGCAGAGGGGTTAGAGTACTGGGCCTGAAACTTGGGAAGACCTGAGTTCAAATTGTACTTCAGACGTGTGCAAACTGTGTGACCCTGGGTGAGTCACAACCTCAGCCTCAGTTTCCTTATCTGTAATTGAAAGGGCCTTTGAGACCCTGCCTATCTCTAAATCTCTGATCTTGTGTGGGCTGGTCAGGTGGCTTCATGGCTATTTGAATGACCAGACCCGAAGAGATCACTGCCTCCTGTGGCTGTCTGCTTGCATCAGGCCCTGCCCCAGGACCATCTCCAGAGGACGTCCTCTGGGGACAAAATCGCTTCCATCTCCTGCCTTGCAAAAGGCAAGATTTTTTAAAAATTTACTTATTTTTAGTTTTCAACATTCACTTCCATAAGATTTTGAGTTCCCATCTCTCTCCTCTCCCTACCCCAAGATGACGTGCAATCTGATATAGGCTCTACACGTACATTCATGTTTTTCACATCAGTCATGTTGTAAAGAAGAATTGGAACTAATGGGTGAAACCACACGAAAGAAGAAACCAAAAAAAAGGAAAAAAAAGAGAGCAAATCGTCTGCTTCGATCTGCATTCAGACTCCTAAGTTCTTTCTTTGGATGTGGACAGCATTTTCCATCCTTTAGAGTTGTCTTGGATCCTTGCTTGCTAAGAAAGATGGGTCTATCAAAGTCAGTCATTGCACATTGTGGCTGTTACTATGTCCAATGTTCTCCTGGTTCTGCTCATTTCACTTGGCTTCAGTTCATATATGTCTTTCCAGGTTTTTCTGAAGTCAGCCTGTTTATCATTTCTTATAGCACAATAGTATTCCACTACACTCATATACCACAACTTGCTCAGCCATTCCCCGATGGACGGGCATCCTCTCAATTTCCAATTCTTTGCCACCACAAACAGAGCTGCTGTTAATATTTTGGTACATGTGGGTCCTTTTCCCATTTTTATGATCTCTTTGGAATACAGACCTAGAAGTGGTATTGCTGGGTCAAAGGGTATGCCCATTTTTATAGCCTTTTGGGCATAGTTCCAAATTGCTCTCCAAAATGGTTGGATCAGTTCACAACTCCACCAACAATGCATTAGTATTCCAATTTTCTCACATCTTCTTCAGCATTTATCATTTTCCTGTTTTGTCACGTTGGCCAATCTGATAGGTGTGATGTGGTACCTCAGAGTTGTTTTGATCTGAATTTCTCTAATCAATAATGATTTAGAGTATTTTTTATATGACTATAGCTTTAATTTCTTCATCTGTGTTCATATCCTTTGACCATTTATCAATTGTGTTCTTATAAATTTGACTCAGTTCTCTATATATTTTAGCCTTTATCAGCAGAAGGCAAGGCTTTCACCTGTCTTGCTGCCTGCCGGCCTCCTGGGGCGGCACATTCCTATCTCCTGGTACTGGCCCCCTCTCTTCTCCTTCCTGCCCACCCCCCTGCTTCCTCACTTCTGTCACTATCAATCCTAGGCCCCCTTCCACTTCAGATCTGGCCAACCCTCCTTCCACTGTGCTCCCCAGAATGCCTGCCCAATATTAACAAACTTATTTTATTTGAAACACTTTCCTTTCTCTTTTCTTCTGTCTTCTGGCTCCCTCCTGACCCTAACTTTTCTCTTGTTACTCTTTCCAGGACTGGCTCTGCTATTGTATGCCCTGATTCATGGGCCCTGGTGAGGAAGTCAATATTCTTTGCTCCCCATTGCCAATTCCACTCTCTTGCTACCCATCTCTAACCATTCTTTCCTCCTGAGAGGCTCATACTACCTAAATTATCACCCAATCCAGATGCCCAGGAGCTTATCTAACACCTCCCAGGGCATCCTCTTTCCTCGGTGAGTTTAGGGCTTGGATCACTCTCCAGTCTTTCCTCTCCATCTCTTACCACACTCACATTTTAAAACTTCTTTTTTAAATCACATATTAATGCTCCCCCAGGCTCCTCCTTCCCACCTCAGCCACCCAGAGAGATGGTCTCACCCTCCATTTTACCATCACTCATAAATATTCCACTTCCTGGTCCATCAGCTTCCTTTATCTGGTCACAATCTGTGATCATTCCCATCTTTTGCTGTGCCTGACATCCTCTTAACAGGTTCTTCATCTTCAGTGTGACCTCATATATATGGGCTATACTCTCCTCTTTTTTTTTTTTTTTTGGTGAGGCAATTGGGGTTAAGTGACTTGTCCTTGGTCACACAGCTAGTTAGTGTTATGTGTTTGAGGCCGGATTTGAACTCAGGTCTTCCTGAATCCAGGGCCGGTGCTCTGTCCACTGCACCACCTAGCTGCCCCCTCTCTATTCTTGATCTCAAAACACTTGGCGAACCAATTCAGGTCTCCACTATCCTTAATCTCAAATGCATTGGTAAGGACAGCCAGGTGTAGAAAGCCTGGTCTGCAGTCAGGAAGACTCATCTTCTCAAGTTCAAATCCGGCCTCAGACACGAGCTGTGTGACCCTAGGTCACGCTTCATCCTCTTTGCCTTGGTTTCCTTGTCTATAAAGTGAGCCGGAGGAAGAAATGGCCAACCATTGCAGAATCTCTGCCAAGAAAACCTCAAATGGGATCACAACGAGTCAGGCATGACTGAAATGACTCCATACAACAGTAACAAATAACCACTGCTCCCTTGTCCTAGAACTGATTCCAGCTGGCCAAATCCCCGGTCCTGGACTGCTCTTCTACCTGCCTCCTCGGCTTCCATTCCTGCTGGTGAATGGAGCTGGAGGAAAGCTCCCCACAAACTTATCTAATCTTAATTGGCCCTAAGTGCCCCAAGGCAAACCTTCTATACTTTTCCAATTGATTTGCTCTCTCCCTCTCCCCAGCAGCTGTTTCAAAAGTTCCCAGCTGTCCTCAAACCTCCCACCCTACCCGTCCCTTACTCTCTCAGTTGAGAATCTTGCCTCCTACTTCCCTGATATTTGTGTTTCTTCCTTTGTTCTCCGAGAGGACCAATGACCTCACAAGGGCCTTGTCTGGACTTGCTCGTGAATTGGATTTAAGTGAGGTGGAGCTGTGCAAAGTCAAAAGTCCAGGTGAGTGGTGATGGCCCAGGATGCAGTGGGTGACCTTAGCCTTTTCTAAGTTAAGGTCCTGAAGTGGGGGCCACCTGAGGACAGCTCCCCCTTTCTTTTTATCATACATCATTCCAACCATTCCCCTCATTACCCCTTTCACTCTGGTTGCCAATGAAAAGGGGGCCCTTCTCCTGTCCAGGACCTCATACTCTTCTTACATCCGCTCCCAACCTCTCCAGCATATTTGTCCCTCTTTCACCCCCAGTTTCTCACTAGTCTTCAATCCTCTCTCTCTACTGGCTCCTTAGCTTCTGCCTTCAAATATGATCATAAAAAAATTCCTCCGAACTCCTTGAGAAAGCTGTCTATACACGCTGCCCCCTCCACTTCCTTTCTTCTCACTCTCTTCTAAATTCTGCAATCTGGCTTCCGACTTCTTCCAACTGAAATTGCTCTCTCTATAGTTACCAAAGATTTCCTAATTGCCAAGTCGATGGCCTTTTCTCCATCCTGACTCTTGACAGGCTGCTCCGCAGCCTCTGACACTCTTAATCACCCTGTGTTCTCTCTCCTTTCAGATAACTCTAATTGGATGTCTTGTAGACCTCTTAAATACAACACATTCCAAACCACACTCATTATCTTTTTGCCTCAAACCCTCCCCCACCTCCCTATTACTATTGAGGGCACTACTATCCTCCCAGCCCCTGAGACTCACAGACTTGGTGTCATCCTAGACTTTCCACTTGTACT